TTTTTCCGTTGGTAGTGATTGGTTCTTGTTGTTGTTATTGGTTATTTTCGTCGCATCTGTCTTCTCTGTGTTCACTTGTAGTTCAGTTTTAGTTATTTCTTCTGTCAACTTGTTGGTTTTCACCTGTAGGTCTTCGAATTTGTGTGACATCATACGAATCATCCGCAAATTCCAGATCTTCTACAGTCTTCTTATCGGTTCAATGAGTTCCTGTCTTCTTGCTCACCATGATCTGCCACATAATCCAACTAACTTTACTCATTAAGTGCTTGTCATATACAGTTTTATAGAAGGCAAGAAGGCATGAATCACTGCAACACAAGTCAGATTGTGTACAGGTCAAAGTTACAAATAATGGGTAGAGAGATGACGCATAGGACAGCATAGTTCTCGTTTTCTCTATGAAGATAAGTTTAGCCGCATAATGAGTTCTATTAATTGCGGTATTGAGTCTTTGTCTAGTGTGTGTCTGTCCTGTAAACCCTGACAGTATCTGAACGATAGTGGCATATCTCATTGTGCTTATCAATTTGCATGTATGTGTGGACACACGTATATAAGGAGGACCCATCGGTCTCTACAGGTTAGGGTTACAGAACACATTCCAAAGTGGCTGCAACAACAAATAAAATCGCCAGACACAACTGATCCCGGAAATAGATGTCCAACATCATCTATAGCGAAGCACATTATAGAGACGGGTCATAAGGTTGATTTCAACAATGCCTTTAACCCCGTATATAAAACAAGGTTGGGTCACATACTTAAATTCTTTGAAGCCCTGACCATAAAAAGAGTTAAGCCTGTCTTATATGCCCAAAAGTTATTTGTTATTATCAAGTATTGGTTTGGTAGGGATTTTGTTTGATTGTATGGAGGATTTCATCATGAGCTGACATCAGTTAGAGAACCACTGGAAAACCTGGGAGTACTGGACAGCTGTTTCGTCCTAGTTTGGGTGGTCCCCGGTGGGTGCGTACTGCTGAAGAGTCCCAAACTAGGACGAAACAGCTGTCCAGTACTCCCAGGTTTTCCAGTGGTTCTCTAACTGATGTCAGCTTATTTGTTATTACTTTAAAGATGTCTTGGTGATCCAATTTAGAACCAAGGACCAATTTACTTCATAATATTTTCAGCCCCTTCTTTGCTTTGTTTTTTCTCTTTTTCTTTTTCTTACCCGCACCTTTGCGTCATCTCCCTACCCATTATTTGTGACTTTGATCTGTACACAATCTGACGTGTATTGTAATTATTCATGCCTTTTTACCTTCTATAAGACTGTGTATGACAAGTATGTGTGTGATCAGAATGTCCGAAATGTGTTGCGCCAATACATTACACGTTTCAGATAAACTACGTCTTCTTATTGTGTTATCGAAATTCATAAAGGGAACTAATTGCTTTAAATTTAATTAAGTGCTGCCAACAGTTATGAATTACTCAAATGTGTGTATAAGTAATACAGTCTTGATGTAGAGATACAGCAAAGTGACACAAACAACTCTTGGGACAGATGACATTGTTACTATAGTATCCAAGACCGATCTAATTGGTGTAATGACAACACAATGAGGAAAAATTCATTTCATAAAGAAGAATGACGCTGTAAAGCACATAACTTCAGTCCGTTGGGGATAATATTGTTGTGGGATATACAGAATGGTGTATTTTTCAAGTGGACAAAGTATATCATTTATGCGTTGAAATCGTTTTCGTTCCAGGTGAATAGATTTGTCTGATACACTTTTATTTAATTAGGAAACTGCATGGATTTTTCTTTATCTGATAATTAATGAAGGAAGGTTTACAACATATAATTACTGCACTTGTCTTCCGTTCGATTACGGAACTTCTCATTGTTATGTGAACTATATCATTTCTGTACTTTTCTTATCTACCTTTACCCTCTTCAGTAAGCACTTAGCTTGATGAATACGTCTTTCAGTAAGTACTTATTTTCCGTAATTTCTCCTCCAGCTTTACAGCTATCTTTCGTCCTGGCTTTGGTTACATGGGCAGTACGAACCCATCGGGGTTCAAACACAAGAACTCCCGGTTACCAGGCAAGTTCGTAGACCATTCATCCCCTGGGACCAGACACAACGGCCCAGTTATGCATTAAAATTACTCGGTGTAGATATTTGATACTAGTGCGTTGAATGGAATTAACTTTTTAAAGTTCAGGTACACGAATTACTGTCCTACACGGGAAATCAGATCATTTACCTAAGTTTTTACGCTTTGTATTGCCAAAAACACCTAAGGCAATCTCACCAGCAAGATTTTTCAGACTAATGTACGCATGAAGAAAAAAAATCTATCCAGTGATGTTTCCTTCCTTAAAATTCACCTTCAATGCAAATACCACCGGAATAATTTCCTTTCCCAGTGACACGTTTATCATGATAATCATCACTAGTACTTTAATAGCTGCTCATGTCATTCAGTAGTGAATACTGTAGTGAATGATGCTCGATTTTTGACTGCCACTTATGCTATTAAGCAGATCGACTGTTCTGATCTGAAGGTTCAGGATTTCCAAAGGTGATCATCATAAATTTTCACCTGGCTCTGATAAAATTTCAAAAGAGAATTTAGTTATCTTCTCCAGTGATTTTCTCTTAGTCTAAGTTTCGCAAGTAATCATAAAACCGAATGCCAAACTGCTAGAACACAATAGCAATTTTCCTCTCTACCTCCATACAAATACGTTATCTCTTTACAGATATACGAAAAGTGACTACCTCGGCTACATAAGAAATTAAGCCATTCTGTTAAGGTCATAATATACTGCCAGCTGAATTCTTCGCCTTCAGTGATTTGGTGATCGGAGACAGCATACATAAGCACAGGGATATACACAAGGCCAACGACATGGATTTCGCCCGACGGAAACACCAAAAACCAGATAGACTTCACTGCAGTGCTAGTGAAAAAAAACGAGACGCAGCCTACTGGATACAAAGTTGGAAAGGGGAACAGATATGGGCTCAGCACATTATCTAGATCAGGGAACCTTCAAGAGGAATACGAAAACATTCAGAACGACCAGATACAGACTACAGCTCCAGTTCAACATTCAGAAACTGAAGGAAAAAGCCACAAAGGACACTTACAACGCGGCCAACAGAGTAGAGTCGGAGACACTACGTAGCACCACTAAGGAAAACTGCGTAGAAAACTGGAACTGTCTGAAGGTGATGTTCAAAGAGGAGAAGACAGGAAGAAACAAGACAAGCAATGGCTCTCAACGGAAGCAAATATTAGAGATGACGTTGGTGAAAGAGAAGACGAACCAGTGCAACAATGGACAACAGAAGGAAAAGCTGAGTTCACAGCAATGTACATTGCAATGAATGAAGAAGTGAAGAAGAGTGCTAGGAAAGACAAAAGACAGTACTGCGACACACTGGCCGGCAACTGAAGCCGAACAGACAAGTCGAAAGTAAAACAGACATCAGAACATTGTCCTCCTCCTCCTCCTCCTCCTCCTCGAGAAGAGCATGGAATCGCAGTTCAATCTCCATCTCACTTTCGTCGAATTCGAGAAGGTCTTCAACAGAAAGCGTTGACTGAAATGTAATTTGGAAACCACTTCAAAACTGTGGCGAGCAGTGACCCGAATATTTTCATCAATCTCATTCAACAGCTGGCTATATGACAATGCCGCCACGTGTCAGCTGATCTACAACAAAAAACTCCGTGATAACCTTAGAGTGAATACAGCAGCAAGGAAAGGCTGGATGCCTACTACCAATAATGTCATTCCTAATTGTGGTGGACTGGATTATGAGGCACAATATGCGTGGGGGAACGAGGCGACAAGAATTCATTGCACTGACCGACAAGAAGATTCTAGAAAATCCGGATTTCGTATACGGTTTGTGTCTAATTTCACACAGACTCGAAGACCTACAGGTGAAAACCAACTGCTTGAAGAAGCAGCCAGCCAAATCACGAATTCAAGTGAACACAGAGAAGACGAGTGTGATGAAGATAACCGGTCAACCACAACCACAACCACAACAAAAACAACAACAGCGACAACAAGCACCAACCACTATCGCCGAGAGAAATTTGAGAGAGGTCACTCACTTCCTTCACTCATCTAGACAACATCCTCTCAACTACAAGCACCCTGCGCACATGACGATGTCAAAACCGGGATCGAAGAAGCAAGACACACCTTCATCTCTCTCAAATCAGTGTGAAAATCAATGCACTAACTCAGCGTGAAGAAATACGCTCGGATTTCCAACACCAATGTTAAGTCAGTCAGTCAGTCTATTACCGCTTCCATGTGGGTCAGAAACGTGGTGTGTGCATCATGAGAAAAAGCATTTGAAACAGGTTACTGCAGACCCTTATCCATTGCTGACTTCTCTGACTGGATATTGAAGATGAGATGTTCAGCTGGCCGTAAATAATTAGCAAGAAGAAACTATGGGAAAAGTGAATCGAGAACTCATTGCTCAATAAATATGTATAGGAGAATGTGGACGGATTGGTCACACGCTGAGGAGACCGCTGAATAACATTGTGCATCAGGCTATCTCTCGAGTGGAGACGCGCTTTTGAAGCCGTATTTTCCACTAGGAACCCAAGGGAATAATAATAATATAACAATAATAATGTGCTAATTAACGTAATTAAACGTTTGTACTTTAATTCTATTATCCACACTGTTATCAACTGTCTTTGCTAAATAATCTCAATATGCTGTTATCAAACCTGACAAGACATTACCGGAAATCCATATCTGCCTAAATGCGACCCTATAAGTCTGTGACTTTAAATTTTGTAAACGCTTTTTCCTCAACACCGTACTTTTAAATTAGTCATTAAGTAGACTACAAAATTTCAGGGCATAGATTAAAGAGGTTTTAAGATGCTCGCCTTGTTTTCCAATTTATTTGCCTGTTAACCTGTTGGTAAACTGTCAACGAAATAAATGAACATAGAAAGCCATTAGCAATAATCACTATGATACTAATAACACTAGTAATAAATAGTAAGGAATTATGACGTGCAAAAACGCTTTTATTACTTTCTATTTTTAGACAAATTAATAATCAAAAATTAGCTTTCACACAATAGGAGACGCAAATCTTCATGTGAATTTTATCGTTTTAGCGACAAAGAACATAACAGTAAGAGAAGAAAGTAAAGCGAACAATCAGATTGGCTTTAAAAACAAAACTGAAAGGCGAAAAATCATACTTATTAATATAATATGCTCATAGGATTGAGTGATTTATAAATATGTAAGTTGTTATCATTCTATTTCCTATTCCTACTATTTATTCTTCCTAAAGAATATTGTGAACTTTTAAAGGAACAAAATGTCACATGTACACAATTACATTCCGCAGTGTTAGTACGTTTCTAATTCATTAAGCTCTGAAATAGTTGCTTCCGACAGAGAATAAGATGAAAGCGCTTCTGACATATCGTGCATTTCTTGTTCAACTCCATATAATTCTCTTAAGTGTATGCCTTTAATTGGTCTTTCAGTACGCGCTGTGAACTGTTCAACTTTTGGTTGATTAATATATGAATTACGATTCTTAGAGCTTCCTTCGTTCCCCTTGATATCACCTGATCCTTTAGTTTTCCTAGTTGTTTGAAGTAAATAAAATCGTGCAGCTGCTTCTGCTGCCTCTCGCTTTTCTGATTCATTTCCTGAATGATTGACCGATGCAACTGCTTCTAGTTTTCTTCGAACAGAAGGCGGCATTAAGAGGCTGCGTAGACCCCTCAGTCGATTTTCATCTTCTGCTACAGTGTTTGGAGTGGTTTCACTAATTTCTTCGTCACTCTTATTTGTGCTTTCCTTCCTCAACGACTGATCACGATACATTTCTTGCTTACGCTTTGATTCGCTTTCCATCATTTTTTGCATTTGTTGTCGTTGTATGCTCATGACAGAGAAATCTGAAAGGAAAACAGCGTAAATCCATTGTAGTTCAATAAAAATGGATATGTATATATTTATATGCAGAAAAAATGAGTTGCTAATCACATTATTTATGTTACTAGTGATGTCTGATTACGTTATGACGACCGAAAAAGAATTCAAACCTTTTTAGTAACCTGAAACACAGCGAATTGTGATATTTGAAGTTGATAGCAAAAGTAAATTAGCACAAAGTAGTGTATATAAAAAATAAACTCATATCAAATTCAAATTTCATTTATTTAGTTAAAGATAACCATGCTTTCCTGTGGGGTTAAATGCATTTGTCTGTAACAAATCAGTTGGTGTACACAAAAAACCAACAAGCCTTAATGTGTTAGTTTACTGAATTTTAGAAGGCCGCGCTAATGCACATCTATGTTGTCGTTTAAGATGAAGTCCAAAAGTTAAAAATCGGAATGAATGCGCTTGAACCGCTTAACTGAAATTCTTCAGCTTAATCAGATAGAGGGAGTATGAGATCAGTTAATGACCACTGGAACTTAAGGATGTCCGCACTACCTTATATTTCGGCAGAACTATGAAAAATGCCGCGTGTTACATCTGTTTTTAGCCACTTAAGAGGGATATAGTTGGGTTTTAGCTTTTACCCAGCATTGGACAACAGATATAAACTGCTTATTTCATAGCTGAAGTGAAAGGCCTGTCCTATACTCACTCATTTCGTTTGACCTTCTGTCTTATGCAGATCTGGTAAAGAAAACAGTTTTGAAAAAAAACTTATTTTTTACAAATCTTTCTACTGAGTGTGCCGTGAATATGTGTAATTCTACTAGGTTTGTATTGAACACATTGCGACATCGCTTAATATTTGAAAAAAATTGTGTAAATCAGGAAGTTTGCGTGTGCATGTATTTGGAGGGGAGGTGTGTGGTTTGCATATGATTAATAACAAATCGAAAATGAAGGAAAGTTGTAACTTACCCGCGGACTTGAATTCTTCTTCTTTTTGTTTCTGAAGTTTAAACAAATATCGGCGCATAACGTCTGCTCGTATGGTGTCAGTATAGAGCTAAAATGAATTGTAATACAAAAGGATACAGATCAGCATTAGATTGAAATGAGTTTAAGTAATGCGTGTAGACACTTCTACATTTTAACTGTTGTTAAAAGAAATCCGATTAACTGGGTGTGATGGCGTTGTATCAGTAAATCGAATGAATTTATAAGGGAATAATAAAGTTGACTATAAAATAGACAGTCATGCAAGGGAATAATAAAGATGCCGATATTCCTGCTGATCATCTGAATTATTTAATTACAAGTAAATCCTTGACAATAAAAGAAGTGATCTTCTCATAAAGAGCCTTCATATCCTCAGTTGAAACTTATGGACTGATAAATAATTTCTGATCCTAGATGGTTGGAGGCAATCGGCAGGAAGCCTTGGAACTACTTCTCGTGCTTGCTGGCACTCATCAGTCAGCAAAGCGTACCTGCAGCCTTGAAGGAACTCATGTCCCTTCTGAGATTCGAACCCGCGTCACCCAGTGCAGGCTGCAGTCAGAGACGTCACCACTGAGCTATTCGGGCTCGCGATTGATCTCCTATAGGACTGTAGTGGATATTTTGATTCGACACTAGTAACTAGTATGATGCGTCTAGTCCTCTCTTTGATGCAGATTGAATTCTATCAGTCGGGTTGCAGACACGCCTTGCTGACGAGTGCCAACTAGCACGAAACCTAGGTCCAAGGCTTCCTGCCGATCGCCTCCAACCATCTAATATCACACAAACAATGTACACCGTGGTGGCGAGCAACCTAGAATGGTGGCCACATTCGAACCCGACTGATAGAATTCAGTCTGTACCAAAGAGAGGACTAGACGCATCACACTAGTTACTGGTGTCAAATCAAAAAATTTCTGATCCATTAGTAAATATGTAGACCATACCATTCGCTCGACAGAAACTTACAGGCTTATATTTAATGATTACTAGACGTCATTAGAGGATTGTATGTATAGAAATCTAGAAGCCCGTACTATCTCACACATACGTAGCCAATCCAGTTGTATATCTGAATAATTTAGCAAACAGCTAACTTGATATTCCTCTGAAACTTAATTTTAATCATGGAGTATTGTCATTTAGTCTATACACACTTTACCGATAAGGCCTAAAATGTATGCAACCTATATGTAGTTTATTTTACCGATCCAAACGACACAGACAACATTGCACTCAGTAGGTAATTTTGTGGCATGATTCAAAATGAGTGTGTATGATTACATCCTTACCAATAAACACAAACCAGAGGTCAAAACACATAATATACACCTATTCATATCAGTTCAACTACGGACATCGTTTTGACAATGAAAAAGTAAAAATTTCGGACAGAGAAAATTTCAAACAGCAGAAGGAGTCCTAACAGCCTGTCACTTAGTCGATTTGCAGTTAACGGACTAGTGTATATAAAGAATCAGTCACACCAACGAAAGGTCAAATATTATTTCTGCGAAATGATCAATGTCAACAAAAAGTTGATTACAACAGTAAGAACATCTTTTGAAACAACCACTCACAATCAAGATCACGAGGAAAAACGGTTATTTCATTCATAGTGAATTCGGAAAGTTCACTTCATTTAGAAGTTAACACTGAAGAAGGTTTGCAGAAGGACAGTGAAGGCTTGTCACTTGAATTGTTCAGCTAAGCAGACACAAAATAACACCGAAAAGAATGTCGAACCTCTGCTAGTAGGTGACTAAATTCTTATATTTCTAATGGGATAATGTGTTCACTACAGTCTGTTAAGCCGTACTTGGCTCATAAAATGTGGTCCAAAACATTTTATAACAGGTATTCGACCCAATGTCTCGAAGGAGGCAAAGAAGCGACATCATAATGGACTGGTGTGTGCTTCAGGTCAGATAGAATTATGTCACACTATTTACTGTCAATTAATATTTAGTATATATTTATTCATATTTATAAAATGTTTATTAATCCTCCATGCAATCAAACAAAATCCCTACAAAACCAATACTTGAAAATTAATATTTTACCTGATGGTCATGAACGAAGAGAAAAAATATTCTGCAATAAACTCCGCTGAAAATTCTGTACGTTATATAAATACTGTTCAAATTAAAGCTATTACTGTTATTATTACCATTATTATTATTATCTTTTTTCTAAATATTTTCCTCATGTGTAAGAAAATGTTGTTTGATATAAGGAAAATTTAAGTGGAGGGAATACATTTAACTTATTATTTTCATTGAAAGAGTTAGTCCCTTTGACAGATTTAAATAAGGCGTTAAGAAGACAAATGTAGTGAGATGACATCCTTTTGCAGTTTCTTTTCGATCGTTTTGCAATACTAGCAACTATTCAGTTATCGTTTAGAACTCCAGAATCAGTGAATTAAATAAAGCTCACATCTTCAGACAGAAGGCTGTAGTGTACAACGATTCAGAGCTTCACGTCATGATAAACATGTTTGGGATAGAGGTCAGTCAGCTCTAATGGCTAGAGAGCATGGGACCAACCTGAAAGGTATTTAATTTTATTGTACTAATTTGAAGAGTATTTATTAAATAGTTCATCTAAAAGTTTTGTAGTAGTTATTATGGTATCAGTATGGTTTTCATATTTAAACTTCACATAGTTATTAATGTCAGATTATGTTACAGGTTTACGCAAGCTGATGCTAATTTAACTGAACATATAATGTTTCCATAAAATAGTCACCTTATTTTATTAAGATATTTCACACTAATTTTTCAATCTTAATTTTTTCTCCAAATAATTATGATAATTTACTAGTTGTACAATTATATAGTTACCTTGTAGTCACTAAAGGCTTTCTCTATTTCATTTTCACTTTCGGATGCATCAGAGGTCCAGTCATTTGAATGTATCGAATTAGCGTCCAATAGAGTACTTACAGTTGTTGTCGTGTGGGTTTTTCGAATATCCTGACTTAAATGTGAATTCACCGAATGTACTTTTGTTGGAGTGGTTTGACTAAATATTATGTTTTGATTTTTGTGTAAATCACAATGATTCTTCGTGTATATTTGTGGTTTCTTCCATTGAATGATTCCACAGAAGCGTGAGATGAATGATGACAAAGCCTCACGTGAGGGTAGCAAATTAAGTGGGACCGGAAGTACACCTTCCTGATCAATATAAACTAACCATAGACTGGCCCTTGCAAATTTCCATTCTTCTAGCCTGTCACCCTGTTTTTAGACAATCAGAAAGGAGAAGAGATACACTAATGCAGTACATAATCAGAAAAATTAGGAAATAACTAAAGTACATCTTTTTATATTAGTATAGACAGTTCATCAGATTTCATCTGTATGCATTAATTTCAGAATTCATATAACTGGATCAAATATCGAAAAATGGAATCCTGTCATGACATTAATAGATGCAACAAATTTGGTAATCAATAACTTCTTTATGATCAGGTAGGCGTTTTTCATTGTCTGAAATGTGAGGTTTACGAGAGACCACTAGAAATGGTAAAAGATCAAATTTCATAATGGTTCATTTCAGAGTATTATTAATAATCTTTTAGTTCACGAAGAAATTCATTATTCATAAACGTATTATAGTCCACAATTTGATTTACTACGATTCTAATTCCCTTTTTTTTCTCTTTCATTGTGATAGCAGTAATCTTCGAAAATTTGAAAGTGACAGTGAATCAGTCATACTACACATGTTTTGTATGAAAAGCTTCAGTTAACAGTCTTCCTGTTCATCCTTCTGAGTCACTTTTAAGTAGTGTTCAGTTCTGCCATTTCACGGTACATTCTGCATGTAATGCTATACTAATTTTCTTTTAAATTTCTTACCTTGTTACAGTCTGACAGTCTATACGTCGAAAACCACCGTGGTTTGGTAGTTTAACTTACTTCTCACTTGCGTTTTGACCTATGCATTCAAAGTCATAATCAAGATTTTCACATGTCCAAATTTTAATTTGAGGGAAATAATTTCTTCTCGCTCAAATTGGGTTAAAGAATGAATTATCACGTCATTAATAAGCACTAGTCATACAATAACTCTTACTAATTAACTTTTCATAGCATGCAGTGTGTTTACCCGTTGGATTGGTTTTTTTAATGGAAAACTACTAATAAATGTGCTGGCAGAGTAGTATAGAGAGGGGTGTTTCGCATCTGCAATATTGAATGAAGCATAGACATTTTTTTCCATCTTGTTTCATTTGAAATTCACCACAAAAAATATTATCGTCTTCATTCAAAGTGTTTAAATAAAACAGAAAACTGCATTTGTAAATCGCTAGCATGAGAGCTTGTGAGTTGTGAAGGCAGTGTGTGAAACAGAATCTAACTAACTAAATAGATGTGTGTCAGGTTAAATGATTAAAGATGACTAAAGTTAAATCTCAGAGTTAGCGTGCACAAGCGAAAAAGTCTCTTATTATTGTTATGTGCAGTGTTTCGGCTTACTTTTCAGAAGAAAAGGAGATATGTCTGTAGTAATCAGAAATTTAGTAGAATTAGAATGATTAAAGATAACCATCTATGGGATTCTGGTTCGTGAATATTCACTGCAGTGCCCACTTTAATTTAGAAAAATCCACCAGTCACGAAAACCTTATCAACTTGTTGAATTAAAGAGGGGACATTTTATTACGCTAAAGAATGATTATTTGTTCAATAAAACTAGTTACATTTTTTTTTTCAAGTGTTAGTTTGTAGGAATATGATTGGTTACAGGATTTCATCATGAGCTGACATTAGTTAGAGAACCATTGGAAAACCTGGGAGTCCTGGACAAGTGTTTCGTCCTAGTATGGGACTCTTCATCAGTACGCACCCACCGGGATTCGAACCCAGGACCTTCTGGTTACAAGTCTAGAGAGCTCGTATACCATCAAGCCACTGGGACCCGATCCAATGGCCCATGAATTCTAACTTCTGCCAATTCACGACATAGCGCGACCCCTAGCCAATGTCTTTGGCGAGTATTTGTCCTCACGCCCGACCTGCTGCACCCTACTGGTCACGACTTCTCACTAGAACCCCAGGTGACTACCTACCTGAATAGGGCAAGTCGCTGGTGAGCATCTCATTGATTTTCCAGTGTTGGTTTGTAGGGATTTGATTGGTTACAGCCGGTGAAATCAGAAGACTTATTAGCTGACTAAAATTATGATAGTGGCTGCTGTTGCAGTAATGTGACATCTGGAGTGAATAGCGCCGCTTATAGTTTAACTAAGTAACTATCTGATTATTCGAGTGACAATTATCTGTAGAAGAAACAACAATTATAAGTATTCCACAGGCTGGTGTACGCCGGAAGCTCATCGGAATGATTGAGAAACAAGCAAGATATATTCTCTTATTGTCTAATGAAAACCTCGAAGAAGTTTAGTTGCCGACTGAGTCAATGAAAAGTGGTGGATCCATTACATATGCAGTTGTAAAACAGAGGTGCCATTGGCCGAAGAGGAATATTTCAGGTTTGAGGTTGCACATTATCTATCAACTCTTAAGCACTTCAAAACGGTGAGGTATTTAACACTCAAAAGACACTGACTTGTTGTCTGTTAGTCTGGAAGATTGTCCAAGATGAAAGCAATGAATTTTACTTTTATGATACAAAAGACGATTATAACACTTCAATTACCTGTATCTCATCAAACGATTTGCTCATCATGGCAATCAACATGTTCAATAAGATAATAATCATGCAAGCGTTATAAATTGCGTACAAAATACTACCAAGACTGTTGACTATGTACGGGCTGCTATCCACTGCTAAATGTTCATGTCCGGGATACATACTGGCTAAATTTTCATCAATAGTTGTTACATTAGTTGACGACTGTCCAAATAATGCCCAGTACAATGTGTGAAAGGTTGCACCCGTGCTGAATATTATTAAAAAACAACAACAACAACGATTTATAATAAAAAAAGAATAATTTATTTTCAAATTCTGACATGAACTCAGATTTTACAGGTGCTCACTACTGTAATCTGGTTGAGTCACTGTCAGTATAACCGTGATCTCGACAGTTTTCCTTTATTATCTAAATTGTTCACGATTCCATGGTCTTAGGAGCTTTTCCTGATGTCCTCACTATTATTTTATCTTCAGCCTTTAAAAAAAGGTTATTCCCTCTTACCCTACTTAACACCGTCATTAAGCTGACTTTTTATGGTTGTTACTTATAATCCAGTTAATGACTCCCAATTGCACTTCCATTCTTGGCCTTCCTTGCATGCCTACATCTAAATTAATCTTGCGTCTCTAAGTCTTCCCCCGACCCACGACCATTATTATCTATGCGTAGTGCATTTACAACTTCATATTAACATCTATGTATCAAATGTTGTCAAATAAGTGGGTCCTCCATCTATGTATTGTAGAATTAAAGATGAAGATTTATTTCACTACAGGGCTGGAACTTACAGTTACTTAACAGGTCAGGGCATGCTGTGCAGAGTCGAATCAATTCTGAAGTATACGGGAGGACACCTATAGAAAAGCGGATTACAAAATATGACCCACAACACAGTTGTTGTTTAGTATTCGGAGTTTAGATGGGAGAAAATCGCTTAGCACTAGGGAAATAACATCGATTTAACTAAAAAAAGGTATTATCTTGCCAAAAGTTTTTGAGGAATAATTATCTTAAGTGGTTTTAGCTTAGTTGTATAATTGCTGGTTGAAGTGCAATTCAAATTCGAGGACAAGAAATGAATACTAATTTTTTAAGAATATTTACATCTTAAGCCTTAAGAATTTCTGTCATGTGATCGTCGATTATTGTAATGTCAGCTAAAACAAAACACGTAGTTCAGCGAAGAGACTCTTTCCAGCGAATTCATTCTCTCTAACTGTACAATCGCATTTATACAATTTTATTTATACAATTTACAATATTTTCATGAAAGCAGGTGGTAGGAAAAGCGATGGGTTGTCGTAATCATAGTTACTAATGTTATTCAATGCATAGGAGGAGTTGAATAAGTGTATTAGAATTACGTAATAAGATGAATAATTTATTGAATAGGTTGTAATCGAGATGCACGTAGAAATGAAGTAAAATATGGAATTATGTAAGGCTTTTAAAGATTATACGGATTTCAGAAAACAAATAAGCAAAAATCAAGTTAGTGGAAATCAACAAGGTTGTTGCCATGACAGTAGAAGTGGTTAAATAATTTTCTCTTGTATGCATAACTACACTTTCTCTATCTGAATGACTAAATTGTCAGCAGCGCAAAGGAGACAAAAGCGTATCGCCTTTGGTAAGTTGTTCTTCAGTTTGCCAATACTATTCATTCCGTCTAAACATATATCTCCAAGTGGAATAAAAGGCTTCGAAAGTACGTCTCCCCTTTGTCTTATTCTCTGCGATCCTGTTCATTTGAACCCACAATTGCCAATAGTCTCTTAGATCCTGCTTTCATGGTCTCCTCCATGTCAGCCTATGACACACACCTAGTTCGCCCTTTGCCATTCGGGTTCAACCCCAGTGATGACCTGAAGCGTGATGTCATTCGATGGTCTCCTCAGTGTGTGACGAATCCATCCACATTATCCTCTACATATTTATTGAGCAATGAGTTCTCGATTCACTTTTCCCATAGTTTCTTCTTGCTAATTCTCTACGGCTGGCTGGCTGGCCACCTCATCTTCAATATGCAGCCAGAAAAGTCAGCTGTTGATAAGGGTCTGAAGTAGCCTGTTTCAAATGCTTTTTCTCATGATGTACACACCACGTTTGTGACCGACATAGAAGCGGTAACCGACTGACTCACTGAATGACTGACTGACTGACTTAACACTGGTGTTGGAAATCCGAGTGTATTTCTTCACGCTGAGTTAGTGTACCAGGTTTCCACACTGATTTGAGAGAAATGAAGGTGTATCTTGCTTTTTCAATCCCGGTTTTGACATCATCATGTACAAAAGGTGCGCCTGTAGTTGAGAGGATGCTGTCTAGATGAGTGAAGGAAGTGAGTGACCTCTTTCGATTTTCTCCAGGCAATAGTGGTTGGTGCTTGTTGTCTCTGTTGTTGTTTTCGTTGTTGTGGTGGTTAATAGGCTATCTTCATCCCCTTCGTCTTCTCTTTGTTCACTAGAACTCGTGACTTGGCTGGCTGCTTCTTCAACCGGTTTGTTGAATTTCACCTGTAAGTCTTCGAGTCTGTGTGAAATTAGACATAAACCGTATAAGAAATCCGGATTTTCTAGAGTCTTCTTGTCGGTCAGTGCAGCGAATTCTTGCTACTTCGTTCCCCACACACATTGTGCCACATAATCCGGTCCACCACAATTAGGAATGTGATTAGTGGTAGTAAGCATCCAGCCTTGTCTTACTCCTGTATTCACTCTAAAGTTATCACCGAGTTTTGCGTTGTGGATCAGCTGACATGTGGTGGCATTGTCATATAGCCAGCTGTCGAATGAGATTGATGAATATTCGCGTCGCTGTTCTCCACAGTTTTGAAGTGGTTTCCAAATTACATTTTAGTCAAGGCTGTCTGTTGAAGGCCTTCTCGAATTCGATGAAATTGAGATGGAGATTGTACTGCGATTCCATGCTGTTCTCGACGATGATGATGAGGATGTGTAGAGCTGCAACGTGATCAGCACGACTTGCAGGTGACGGTCGACTCGAGAGTCCTTCGAAATAATCAGACCATCGTTCTCTATGTCTCTGCTCTATGGTAATGAGTTTCCCCTGATTGTCTTTCATTGGTTTGATCCGCGTTGATTTCTTCCCGGGTAGTGAACAGCCTGGTTATCTGATACAATGTTCTGATTTCCGTTTTATCTTCGACTTGTCTGTTCAGCTTCAATTGCCAGCCAGTGTGTCGTAGAACTGTCTTTTGTCTTTCCTAGCACTTTTCTTCACTTCTTTATTCATTGCAGTGTACATTGCCGTGGACTCAGCTTCTCCCTCTGTTGTCCATTTTTGCACTGGTTCCCCTGCTCTTTCACCGACGTCCTCTCTAATATTTGCTTCCGGGTGTCCATTGAGAACGACTACTTCCATTGCCACTTCTTTCTTCCCAGGACGGTTGTGCATGTTTCTCTGAACATCACTTTCAGAGAGGTCCAATGTTCTCCCTTTCACACAGGTTTCCTCGGTGATGCTACGTAGCGTCTCCGACTCCACTCTGATGTCTGCATTGAAAGTGCTCTTTGTAGCTTTTTCCCTCAGTTTCTGAATATTGAAGTGTCACTGTGGTCCATATCTAGTCGTTCTGAATGGCTTCATCTTCCCCTTGAAGGCTCTTTGATCTAGATAATGAGCTGAGCCCATATCTGCTCTCCTTCCCGACTTTGTATCCAGTAGGCTGCGTCTCGTTTTTCTTCACTAGCACTGAAGTGAATTCTATCTGGTTTCTGGTGTTTCCGTCGAGCGAAATCCATGTCGTTGGCCTTGTGTATATCCTTGTGCTTGTGTACACTGTCTTCGATCACCAAATCTCTGAAGGCACAAAGGTCTGTGAAGAGTTCTTCATTCCATTCTCTTCACCAAGAGCCTGTCAACCAAGGTTGAATTCTATTTCTGTACTGTATGCCTCAACTTTAGCATTCTTGCCACTTATAAGGATTTCGATATCTCCATTTGGGATGTTATGCACTACTGTTTGCAGTTGTCTATTGAAATGTTCCTTCTTCTGTTGTTATGAGTTCTTTTTAGCCTCGTGCGAAGCACTGAGTTGAATGTTACTGTCATAATCCTGGATGAAATTGGTCCCCACTGCATTAGGGCTTTGGCTACCACTGCTCACATCATGATAACCACTCACTACCTCAGTTTGCTCGTAGTTGTCATCTGGGTGATCGGAGTAGATTACTGACTGTTGACTTGACAATTTGGATAGTCGACATTCATTCCATTTACTCTCGCAGATTCCTAGCACTTCTATAACATATCTCCTAATTTCTTTGCCTACTTGGACAACCTCTCCAGCCTCGTACGTTGAACGAACATATCACCTCCACATTCTTATTTATGGCTTCATGGAAAGAAGATACATCGGTTGACTGGCTTTCGAAGGCTTTCACCTGCCTACGTTTAAAAAAATATTTTTGCTGTACTTTGAAGTTTCTGTTGAGATTTGATTGGTTTTCAGGATAGCACTGCTAGCCCCACGCTCAAACTTCCCTCTCTTCTAGGTCTTGGGATCGGTCAGAAAATTATCAAGCTAGTAAACTAAGAGGGGTTTTGGCAGTCATAAGAAGTTCCATTTTGGAAAATAGACTTTTCGGCTTATACTGCAGCGGTTCAGTCTTTACTTGTCTTCCTGAAGAATCATAAAAAGACATTAGATAATCCTCGAAATTCAGTCACTCTTACAATACAAAAGGCTTACAGAAACACTCAGCTACTAGCAAGTTTTCTTAGAATGCCTTTTTCTATGCAAAACAATAGGTGGATGCTCCCAAATCTCCTGAATTAAAAGTATTTGTTCAATTCAGTATTGAAACAACTGACGATAATATGAATACAACCCGGAGGAGCAAGTCTGTCCTATAGAAGAATATTTTATCCTTTCTGTTTTCATACATATTGAACAAATGACAGTGCTGCCTTAAAACTGTTAGCAAGCAAGTTTTGCTAATTTTGTGGTTGGTTGGGGGGACTTCATCATGAGTTGACATCAGTTAGAGAACCAGGACCCTCTGGTTACAAGGTAAGCTCGTAGACCATTAAGCCACTGAGACCCGATTCAGTGGCCAGCCCATGAATTCTAACTTCTGTCAATTCATGACATAGCGCGACCACTTCGCAATGTCTTCTTCTTCGATGAGTTACTGCCTCACCTTTGGACGAAACAGCTGTCCAGTACTCCCAGATTTTCCAATAGTTCTCTAACTGATGTCAGCTCATGAAGGCGAAATCCCTACAAAACCAATACTTGGAAATTTTGTGGTTGTTGTGATAAATGAAATCATGAAAGGCAAAAATGGCAACGGTGAGTTATCAAGAAACTCAAAGTAACAATTTCCTAAAGTTTGGCTAGGTGACTTAATAAAAAGTGTCAACAGTCAAGAAAGTGGAATTTGGAACACTCTGATAATTCCAATTACAAATGGATTCCACAGCAGACTTTGTCACTGACAGCGACCATATGACAATAGAATAAAAAACTAGCAGACAGTATCACAGCCTAGTAGTTGTTATTTTACGAGTTCACCAAGGGAGTTTCGGCCTATTGCAGTTTTTCCAAGAATTTACTAGTTCTAAGGAATCAAGGTAAGGAAAACTGCACTTCGGTAACTTTGTGAATACTGCTCTGGTGTTTGAATCAGTGGATGATGAGTCCCAGTCTCAGAGGAAACATAAACACAGAATCCCGAACAGGTTGACGGAGTGGTTTCGACAATACTGAATGTCAGAGTGGATTGTTAAAGGAATGAAGGTACAGTTTGTCTCAGACATCAGCCAACAGTAGCAAAGAATGATAACAGAAATGAATCTTCTATACAATTTATTGTTTGAGGAATTAGATTTCATATTCAATTTAGATCATAAGATCAGTGTGATTACTATCTAAAACTTATTCAGTGCCTAGCAGTCCGATGAATATTTGTGAAGAAAATGTAACACTTAATGATTATTTGTAAGATACATATATGTATATATATCCTTATTACTCCTGTGAATTTTGAGAATGATATTATTCTCATAATTACTTCTTGATTAATGTTAATTTTCCGTAATTTTGTTTTCCTGCGACCAAAGGAAAACTACAAAGCTTCAGTTACACGCAATATACGTCATAAATTGTTATTTTGTCTTTAAGATGACAAATGGGATTTCAGTTTATTTTACTCCACCCACCATATATATATATATAAATATATATGTATACATCAGACAGCGTTTTAATCTACTCACGAAATTTAGGCGGGAAGATATCTGAAGACACATGGTTTGTGGATAGGAAATATGTTTGAGTAACCTACCTACATTATATCATAGAATTTACATGCATCGAAAACAATAGACTACTTTTCGGCATTCATAAGAGTATCACTATTGTGAAACTAAACTACAAAGAAAACTTCAAACGGTATATCATCTTAAATACCTTGAAATATCTTCCTTTTACCTTAGCTGTTAAGTCAAGTATATTTGATGATAAAATGTGTTTAAAGTAGCTGTGCCGATAAGCTGGATTTCATAAAAAACACATTTATTTGGCTTTAAATATTATTTATGAACTGGTAGAAAGTTTGCCGTTGTTGTTTTCACCTTTAGTGCATTGGCATCTCAATTACCGACTTAAAACGCTAGGTCTACTTACTCAGTTGTATTTTCAAAGTACTTCATGGAAATCCTACGCTTGGTTCAACATTTCATGTGATCAGTGTTCCCCTAAGTTGGTGCACTGAGTGGTAAAGGAAATATTTACAAGCAGTATTTGAGATACTCTTTATTTGCATTTAGGTTGAATTGTTGTTTATGTGTACGCATAGATTTAAACATCATCAACGTATCCTTATGTTTAAACCTGTTACGAAAATTCGGATACTGATAGACCGTTATTAGCTATGAGCATTCCAGTGATTTTATATTTAGAGATAAAAAAAGCAAACTCTGCAGATGCAATTTTTTCATCCACTTTCATTATTAATCCATTGCATGAAAATGAGTAAATTTTTATTAGCTTTTATTATTCAGACTCAATTTTATGTGAATGTTTTTATTTTATATAAGCGTTTTATTTACTTTCTCTCTGATAACTGTTCATGGAGTTCACTTAGTGTTTTGTCTCTAATATCTTAATACAAGTACGCATTAACATAAACATTTTACTAATGGCTTTCACAGTTTTGTACCTAAATTACTACTATGACGACAAACTAATTAGAAGTATTGACTTTAGGTGTCAGCAAAAGTTAGTGTCTAAGATGCCAAGCAGAGTGACTTTATCTGTCTCATAAATAATTACAGTTGAAGTGAATCACGGGGATAGATTTTAATCAGCTAATGGGACTACATTATTATATTGATAGCTTTTAAAAATAATTCGCATTCATTTGGATATTTATTATTGTTGGATGTGAGGAACACTCATTACATGTCAGTGCAGTTATACAACTTTTGAAAGGAGTATTATCGAAGGAAATTTACTTATTGACGTCATTCTTTCATAATTCTATAGAATAATTCAAAATAATTTCAGACAACAAGTAAATAATGAAATTAATTAAAACAAACATACGTTAGATCTTTTAATGTTACAAAGAAACACTGTTTTAACATTCTAAACGAGTAGAAAAGCACCATATCAACTTAATCACTGGAATGTTTAATATTCAGTTTAAATGTGTCTAATTAATTAGGTTTCTCTTGCAAAACGCCTTAGTCAGACTCATTCTGTCGCTTCTAAAGTAAATTTTGTTTGTTAATTAACTACAGTTTCGTTAATTAAGCATACTTTTTGTAGTCTAAAAATAGCACTAAATGGGATAGACAGAACGACGGTAGATGAAGTATGGGCACAATGTACACCGACATTAAAACGATAGAAAAGAGGAAAGTTTAACCTGATGAAACCAGAGATAGAAGCCTTAAAAAACCTTCAGAATAGCGAGGATATAGTAATCACTAAATCAGACAAAGGAATTTCAGCAGTAATATTAGATAAATCAGATTATTTGGACAAGGTGAATACTTACATACAAGCAAGATCATACGAAGAAATTGATAAATCAATCGGCACCATTATAAATAAGGTTAAGAAAACCCACAGAGGACCTTATATGCCGAATGGTTTAATTTAATGCTGGAAACTAATAACCCCAGTAGGATGTATGTTGTTGTTAAAGTTCATTAGTCAGGATACTCTAGTAGATCTATAGTTTATTTTAGAAATTCACTTACTTATGAAGTGTCTAAATATTTATCTATGGTATCAAATCCTCTTAGAGGCCACTCAGAATCTAGACTAACAAAGTCTAATGAACTAAAACATAGATTAGATAATTTAAAATTAGATAGTGAGGAAGAAATGGTTAGTTTTGATATTGTCAGTTCACATACACGTATACCAATAAATACGGCTATAAAAGCGTTCAGAAACGAATTCATTTTTGACCAAGAACTTGAACTTAGAACAAAAGTTTCATTAATTATTCTATTATAGTTTTATCGGATCTAGAGTACAAAGTTGTATAGTCCCACTTATAAATCATAAAGTGCACATACAGACAAATTTACAAAATCAACTTATATGCTTTTCTGCAATGACATAGTATAACTTCCAAAAGACATTACTCACCTTTTAAAGGATGGTATTCCACTGGCATAGCGAATTAGTTGTCCATGAGCGTCAACAGATATAATAATGTTGGCAAAGTACCAGTACAGATTGGTTAAACCAACGACGAATGCAATTACCATCTTAAAATAATATAAGTTGAAATCAGTTCACTGAAATAAATTATTACTGGCAGTATATCATATCAACTTGATATGATTATGAGCAATAGTTTATGCTCGATACGTGGTCATCAGTTAATATTACTGTATAACACTTTGTGATTTATCAAAATAAAATCTTATCCATAATGGAGTTATGCTCTACCACAGTGCCCAAGTTTTATAGTTAGATCTGTTCCTGTGATATTAGTTAAGAAACTACGGTAAGTTTCATTCATGTAGAATCATTATAAAGGTAATAATATAGTCACAAAATTGCTTCATGCTGCTGGCTAAACCAGTTTCACATGGTAATGAATTGTCAGTTTCTAAGATGCACCTGTAGAAATATCAGCTGAACTTTCCTCAGTGTAGTTACTATTATCACTAAGATTCACAGAAATAGTGCAACTTTATGAACTGTAAGCCAGAGAACAAAAACTGTAGATTTTTTCTCTTATTGACAAGGAAACCGATGAAATGTTCACGTGGTTCGCTGATCTCCTTGAATATAAGCGAATTTATTACACTTGTACAAGCAAGATTGCATATTGCTTTCTTTAGTTAGTGCCTCCATTGTTATTGACATTAACAACAATTACTACTTTAAAGAAAGCATCAAATAATTTATCATAACAGAAGAATTTATAAAAAGCTAAGATTAATCAATATTACCCAAAATGTGATAAAAGTGTAATAACCTGGAAGATAAGATCTTGAATCTGATTGGCTTGACATGAAAATGTTAGATAACTTCATTCGGTTGAATCGAGTTTCACCACCCGTAAAAGCCCTACCGACTAATTTCGGTCGACATTTAGTGGTGAGTCATAGTCTATCATACGGCGCAACATTATTGTGTCACTTAGAATAATGAAGGCGTAGCATGCCAGGTCAAAAAAAATGACTGTTTTTGTTACATCTTGGCAGCCGAATAGGACACAATACAGGTCACTGTAACTTAGAATAGATTTGCGAATTTAGTCTGAGATACAACTGAAATTTTATTAAGGCTGACCAAGTGTGATTAATGCTTTGAGTAACATAACGAAGCAAGTATTGAATCTTAGTGAAGTTGACATAACACAATCGGAAGTGGGAGGCGTGATGGCTTGAGACACTCCATGAACCAACGCCATGAACGATATTTTATACTGAAGTCTGAGCTAAAGATGTTGTAAAGAAAGACAATAAAAGCCTGGCATATAAGCTATCAGTCGGAGAGAACACAACCACATCACTACTCTTTTTTATGTCAAACTCTAACTTCTCCAGCTGAGTTGCTAAAGACTCAGCAGTATAAATGAGGAGGACAAACACTATCTCTGGCTGGTTACTTTTCATTTTGTAGATAACCCTTACAGATGTTACTGAAACTGAGTGCTAGATTAAGTAGTTTTCCTTTGTTCCACAAGAACTAACTATTTTCTTTTTCTTACAAGTCTTAGTGAGGGTTTTCTTTGAATATGTTACTTCTCCATGAGACTGGTTCAATATTTGCTACGAAACATTACAAAGTGACATCCAGTATTTTGATTGGACACAAGTAACTAGTGTGACGTGTCTAGTCCTAGTCTAGACTGAATTCTATCAGTTAGGTTTGCTGACGGGTGCCAAGTAGCAAGAAACCTGTGCCCAGGGCCTCCTGCTGATTGCCTCCAACTCTCTAGGTGACATCCAGTATGTTATTAACCAACCTTTATTCACCTTTAAACCATAAATACTCAAAGTTTACTTACCACGGTAAAGAGAGCCATAAATCTTATAATATCTGACACCATACGAGCTAAAGATATTTGAAGTGGCCCAAGAAGTTCCCATGCAGGCATCAGATAACTAATTCTTGAAAAAGACAGAACATTACCCAGGGCAAACAGGCAGTCTGAAATGTATTCAGGATCATCCGGGGCCCACCACAATCGACCTATGCACAAAGGAAATATAAAAAGCATAGATATTCAGGGACGCGTATTTTTCCACTAACTTCATTAGAAAAACAAAGTAATAAATCATTTATCCGTAAGCACTACAATGTTCAGTGCTGTCTGCATTCTGGTGACAAGGAAAGGTAACCTCTGGAGTTATCCACACGTTATTTGTGACTAGAGTACTTATGTTTTAGTATTCTTGATAGCTAACAACTTCTGCGTTTTAATCAATTAGTGTTTAAAATCTTATGTGCAGAGTAGCACGTCTTGCATACAGTATTAAAAGGCTGATGAACATTACTAACTTCATCATCTTTTGTCTTCACATTACATTTATCACCCACTAATATCCTCCATAAAGTTAGTTTATGACGGAAAATAGTCAGTGTTGTATCCCGATATGCACTACCATCAGTTTACTGGGAGCTTCTGAAAACGTAAAGAAAAAAGAACAGCTCACTATATTGAAGTAAGCATTAAAAAGATCCCAATATCCAAGATTAGATCGTCGGGTAGTTATCATGAATTACTGATTTGATCAAAACGACTTGTTGAAGTGGTCAGGAAGCAGTTATTAGTTCCATGTTTGGTCACGGATTAATATCAGTCAGAGAACTGTTGAAAACCACGGACGACGTCTATTTCGTCCTCTTTCGAGACTCCCCATTATCATGCACCCATGATCCCACCTGGAGTCAAAATCAGGACCCTCACGTTACGAGGCGAGCCTGTTGACCACTCACTCACGGGGATGGAATCCAATAGCTGATGAGTTTTAACTTCTATCACCTCACGATTTCTATCGCCATTGCCAGTCGGATTCATCGGAGAGTGTTTATCTTCATACTCGAACTGGTGGACCTCGTTAGTCACTACTTCTGATTAGGACTCCAGGTAACTTCGTCTTGTAGTCAGTCGCTAGTGGGCGTCAGATTAATTTCCAGTCGTTAGTTTGTAGGCGCTCGGTTGGCTTCAAGTTTGACCGCGGATTGAGCTCACCTGGTAATGCGTGAATACTGATGAAGAATCCGAAATAAGGAAGTAATAGCTATCAAGTACTCCGGGGTTTTCAAAGGTTTTCTTATTGAAATCAGTCCCTGGTCAAACTCGGAACCAATCAAATCTCTACAAACCAACACCTGAAGACAATTATATTATAAAATAGAATCTAATTATTGGTGATAGACCATATAAATGATGAAAATTAAGTAATGGCATCAATGGATATTACTCTGGGTTACTAAGGTGAAAATTCTTATCAAAGTAACGTTTATTGATTTTGAGAAAATTTAGATCATAACTGCTACTTTACGCCGTATAGGTATGAATTAAATGGTTTGTCATTAATTACGCTAAGCTTAATTATTTTCAAGTTATCTTTCGGTTTTCAGAAATGAAATGTGATCCTCCATTTCATGTTTTTCTTGAAATCTATTTAGAAAGATGTCTAAGAGTTGGAATAACATCTTCATTAGTCAAAAGTAAGGCCATGTTGTTTATCAAAGTAGACCGCCTGCTCAGTGCAATCTAACAACCTATTTGTCATACTGAATATAATTGCTTCAGATGACGGCCATAGAAGTTAAGTCACTAATTTGATTTCATTAAGGCTTACTTCATAATATCATTCATCCAAACAGGGAACTTAGGCTCAATCTCTTCTGTTCCTAGAGGAAGAATCAACACATTTTCATATTCGTCTAATACTTTTGTGTTTAAAGTGATACGGTTTCCTTTAAACTTTTATCCATTTGCACAAATTCGGTTATACTGTGTATTTTGATTGAACGCTAGTAACTAGTGCGATGTGTCTAGTCCTTTCTTTGGTGCAGACTGAATTCTGTCGGTCAGCTTTGCAATGTGGCCACCACTCTACTTAGCTCGCCATCACGGTGCACATTGATTTGACGATATTAGATGGTTTCAGGCAGTTAGCAGGAAGCCTTGGGCCTACGTTTAGTGCTAGTTGGTACTCACTAGTCAGCAAGGCGTATCTGTGACCTTGAAGGAACTCATGACTCTTCTGAGATTCAAACTAGAGTGATAGAATTCAGTCTGCACCAAACAGAGGACTAGACACATCATACTAGTTACTAGTGTCCAATCAGAGTATCCAATACAGTCCCACAGGAAGGAAGTTATTCGCGAGCCCGAATAGCTTAGTGGTAACGTCTCTGACTGCAGCACTGGGTGATGCCAGTTCGAATCTCAGAAGGGATATGAGTTCCTTCAAGGTTACAGATACGCCTTGCTGACTGATGAGTGCCAACGGGCACGGAAACTAGATCCAAGGCTTCCTGTCGATTGCCTCCAACCATCTAATGTACGATGTGTTAATTACCTTAGGTGACTAATAAAGACTTATCGGCTACCAAATAGTTAACTGTGAGAGTTGTAAACAGTACATCAAAAGTTTATATGTTAAAATTGATTATTTACAAGTCATAAAGAGAATTTAAACGAATAAAACAATACTTTGTTTTGGACTTTTTAAAGATTCTAATTGATTTTAAACTGGACTTCATTAAGTCTGTTGTAAGCTCCGTGAACCAATGGAGAATAAACAGCGCCGAATTTCGCAACCACGAAATCAACACAGAGCGGAGATAGATTGGATCGCGATGCACCAGTTTATAACTTGCAGCTCTCTTCAACTCATAAAATGCTGGACACTCAGCTTCTGGCGTAATTAATTTTACACCTGATGTATTCACGGCTAGTTATGGCAGTTTTGGACTAGATTCTGTATGATACCATGAATGTGTTCCTTGAAAGTATCGTCATTCTTGGCTTTTCGAGTGCATTTTATTCATTTGGTGTATCAGTTTCACATTGAAAAAAGGGATTAGTTGGAACAAATAATGTGGAATCATTGTTAACTGTGGGAATTTATTTTTGATTCTCCATTTTTATGTCTGGATGATATTAGGTTACTCAAAATATTTGGATTATTTAGGTCACAGGAAAATTTTAATTTCTATGTGAATGAATTTAAAGGTTAAGTGTAAAGGACTATACATTTGTGACAAGGGATTCATATTAATTTTATTAAAGTATGATAAATAGATATATTTTTCTAGCGGTGAGGCAGAATACACTCTATTTTAAGCAAAACTTAAGTGTATCAACTTACAACCTCTTAGCCAATAAGCAGATTCAGGAATCAGTATTTTGTTTCTGTAATTCACATAATCCTGATGAGTAGTTTCAGTATTGGAACAAGATTTTGAGGCTGAACAGGTGGCATTTAATAAAATTGACTGAGCCAATTTAAGCTGAGCTTCATATCTTCCCATAGATGCTTGAACTTTGAAATCTACAATAATTCTTAGCGAATATGAAGCCAAATACAAGGCAATAGAAACCCAGTCCATAAAATTGTAATAACTACGAAAGAAGTAGCGTAGACCATAGTGATAAACTTGTTTACATTCCATACAAAGTTGACCTGTGATAGATAAAAGTATAATATACATTAAAATGCTTAATTAAGATACCTGCTTGAACGTTATATGCTAGTGGAATAAAATAGGAAACTTTTAATTTTTCCAAACATACATCAACTAGTAATTCTTTATTTACAAGTACCAGAACGGATTCCGAATGGAACATACGACTTCAACAACACATCTCCACTTTGTTCTGTCCTCTGCTGTCCTCGTTAGCTAGGCCCAAGATTGCCAATAATATTTATTCTCCTCCTCTCACGATCTCCTGCAAATCACCCTCTACCTTGACGTGGTGGTCGGGTTTGCATATCTCAATAATCCAGGAATTAATATTCCTGAAGGTACCTCCATACCAGGAAGATTGTTAGGATAGCGATTAGACTAAAAGCAGTTACTGGCGTAGTATAAGAATTTTTTTACACTATGCTGGGGGTCTGTGGGCAAAGTCGTACTGCTGGGGAATAGGGATGTAACAGCGGTAAGGTGTTCCACTCAGATGACCAGCATGCCAGCTATGCTGTCTCTCCACTCTGGTGGAAGGGGGTTAGAATAGGTTGATCCCAAAAATTGTACATCCCGACTTACCCTACCGTGGTCCGTAGTTGGCAGTAAGTTACTAGTAAGTAACTAAACTTAAAAAACAATTCAAACAGTCCGTGTGTGACCTGCCTCAAGCAGTTTTTCCCTGGGCTCTGCGGTCACGCAACACTAACTCTGTTTCTGTTCCAGGTACCCGAAGAATCAATCGACTTCCACGGTGTGGGCAGCTGGGAGGTAATAACCGCCCAAACATTTCTAAAAGCACACCAAGCCCTTCTCAGTATCATTCTCCTTTACCCACATTACCCTCATCATCTTGCTTCTCTACTACTGTCAGCACTATTGTGAAGACTGGACAGTCATCTTCATTTCATTCTGTGACCACGAACAACGATGAGAGCCAGAAAAACACTTTCCATAGTGTCTTAAAGCCACGCCGCCAACTTCATTTTGGAGCATTTAACGCCAAGACCCTCTGCCAAATCAAACAACAGGCACCACTAGCCAGATCTCTGGTATCTCGAGTCATGAACGTGCGTTGTGTTTCGGAGACACGCATAAAAGACTCAACTGTGGTTATTCACTCAACCCCACCCGGCCAAGAAGGTGAATCCTCAAATATTCGCCTAAAGGGTGTTAGGAAACTCTTCAGCTAGTTCGCGAGGGATAGCATTGAGTGTAAGAACAGAAAAATCACTTCTCGACGGAATCACAGTATATAGTCGTATGTGTGTTCCGTTTGAATGGGTCCGTTGGAAGGAGGAAAGATGGTGTTACTCGTCGTTGTCTTTTCATAGTCTCCACTTACGTCCCAACAGCCTGGATTTCGGATAAACTAAAGGATGATTTCTACCTGGAACTGTCTACTTTGTTGCAAAAGGAAAAGTGCTCAGATATAGCTGTTTTAGCAGTTGACTTCAATACCCAAGTAAGGAAGTTATGCCAGATTGAGAAGTATATAGGCGGAGCATACGGAGTTACCTGCCGATGAACCGACAACAGTGATCATCTTCCACAGTTCTGTTCAGATAATCATCTGTTCCTAGTCAGCACTAACTTTAGGCACAAAGAGAGACATAGTGTAATCTGGTGACCTCCATCACCAGATCAACGTTGGAGTCAGATAGACCACATAGAGATAGGGTATCGTTGGCGAGGGTCAGTAGACGACTGCTGACCCTTCTGGAACACGTGTGTAGTCTCCGATTACGCCCTGCTTTGCACACATTTCTGCTTACGTTTAAACGGACATAAAAAACTGTTGGCAGAGAAACAGTTACGTCCCTAACTAGATTGAGACTCTGAGTCCCTATTTAAGGAAGAAATGGCGAAGCGAGTATCTGAGGTTGACAAATAAACTCCTCCCGATGAAGTCTGGCAAAACATACAATCAGCCGTAGAAGCACCTGTAAGGGTCAGTAGATTTCTACTGCCTCATCATAACTGGGTGACGCGAGAAGACTGATTCCGGCGAGCTCCAAATATGATGAGGAGCGAAAGTTACTCAAACGCAAACTAACAAGAAGTCTTTGCGACGACCGTGAACAGTGGTAGTCGACAAAAGCGAAAGAGATAGAAAGGGCTTTGGTGATAGTTAACATCAAACAAATGTTAGGACTTATCAGGGAAACAGGTGGTACAAGGCAAATGATAAGTGAAGCAATCACCGAGGAAAATGGCACCTTAAAGAACACTTTGAGGAACAGTTTGACTGGCCTATAGCTACACTCAACTTATTGAGCATCCAACATCTCCTCAAATGAACGAGATATAAACAGCATCCCTCCGTCCCTAACTGAGATTACAAACGCTGTCACTAGTCTGAAATGAGGCAAAGCTGCGGGACCTGATGGCATGACTCCAAAGATGTTTAAGGGAGGGGAAGAGAGTTTACTGTCTGCCTTAAACCAAGGCATTAGACAGTGTCTGGGAATCAGAGATGGTCCCATCGAGCTGGTGCAAATCACTGAGACAGACAAGTCGTAGAAATGAAGTAAAATATGGAATTATGTAAGGCTTTTAAAGATTATACGGATTTCAGAAAACAAATAAGCAAAAATCAGGTTAGTGGAAACCAACAAGGTTGTTGCCATGACAGTAGAAGTGGTTAAATAATTCTCTTTTGTATGCATAACTATACTTTCTCTATCCAAATGACTAAATTTTCAGCGATGCAAAGGAGACAAAAGCGTATCGCCTTTGGTAAATTGTTCTTTAGTCTGTCAATACCATCCATTCCGTCTAAGCGTATTCCTCCAAGTGGAATAAATGGCTTTGAAAATACGTCTCTACTTTGTCTTATTCTCTGCGATCCTGTTCATTTGGCCGCACAATTGCCAATAGTCTCTTAGGTCCTCATTTCATGGTCTCCTCCATGTCAGCCTATGACACACACCTATCTCGCCCTTTGTCATTCGGGTTCAACCCCAGTGATGACCTGAAGCTTGATTTCATTCGATGGTCTCCTCTCCTCTACATATTTATTGAGCAATGAGTTCTCGATTCGCTTTTCCCATAGTTTCTTCTTGCTAATTATTTACGGCCGGCTGAACATCTCATCTTCAATATGCAGCCAGAGAAGTCAGCTGTTGATAAGGGTCTGCAGTAGCCTGTTTCAAATGCTTTTTCTCATGATGCACACACCACGTTTCCGACCCACATAGAAGCGGTAACCGACTGACTGACTTAACATTGGTTTTGGAAATCCGAGCGTATTTCTTCAAGCTGAGTTAGTGCATCAGATTTCCACACTGATTTGAGGGAGATGAAGGTGTGTCTAGTTTTTCGATCCCAGTTTTGACATCGTCATGTGCGCAGGGTGCGCCTGTAGTTGAGAGGATATTGTCTACATGAGTGAAGGAAGTGAGTGACCTCTTACAAATTTCTCCCGGCCATAGTGGTTGGTGCTTGTTGTAGCTGTTGTTGTTTTTGTTGTGGTTGTGGTTGACCGGTTATCTTGATCACCTTCGTCTTCTTTGTGTTCACTTGAATTCGTGACTTGACTGGCTGTTTCTTCAACCATTTGGTTGGTTTTCGCCTGCAAGTTTTCAAGTCTGTGTGACATTGAACAGAGCAGTGTTTAAAACGTGCATTCACCGTAAAACACACATTCAGATTTAAAGAAGTATCTGTTGTCATATAAGTTTGTGTAATAAAATCTATTGGAATATAGTAATTAGTACTCATTTAGTGAATTTACAAGTATCTCATTGAAATGCAACTTAAAAGCTATAAATTTTCTTCCTTTTTACAAGAACATAACGGTAATGCCTATATTATATTCAATAAAACATCGAAACTGAATGCTGTAGACCACAGTTACTGATAAATGAAAAATCATTTTAGTGACTTTATTACTTAAGCTGTAATAAGCTGGTGAAGGGATTATTATGTTTTTTCGAATGAAGACAGAGAGGCACACAATCTTCACTCCATGTTCTCATATGCAGTTTGGTTGACTAAGTATTATTCCACATGGCGCGTAAATTAATTTACACCAAATGTGGATATCGAAACAATTTTTACGCATTTAAATTACAAAAATGTCAACAGTGAAATTGAATTAACCGCGACAGTTTTATTTCAATTTCTCCAGACTTGACTTTAGCCTTTAGTTAAAAGTTTTTAGACGAAAAGAGACTCTATTTTTAGCTCTCAACTGTTTTCGAAATTTTTTCCCCGGATCTTATCACTGTTGTGGGAAAGTGCTACATCTGATAGGATAGCTTTTATTTAGAACGAATAGCCGTCACTTCAGATTATGACTAACCCCATGATGTGAAAGAGCAGGAGACTTATATCAGAGGAAGTGGCGATGCAAAAAAAATATTATGATAGATAGGTAGTTAACTTACTGGTTCTGTTGGTTAATGGTAGTTAGATTAGATGTTTTGAGTAGCCTGATTGATAAAGGGTATCTTTATAAAATAAGTAGTAGTGATGAAACACATCAGCTTTATTTTCTGTAGTTGTCCCCTTTTACATTTCATCTGGATTACAGAAATGTACGAAACGTGAAGGTTATTCTGCTACTTTAACTCATTTCTTTATAAAAGCACATTGAAATGCTTGAAAAAGCTTTGTTAAATCTGTTTGGGAGAACAATGTTTATTCTTAGGATACAAAAGGCAGAAGCAACCTAGTTGTAGTGGGGAGAAGCTAAAGTCTTGCAGTATGCAGTGTTATGCGAAGATTTATCTCTAATCCAAAAGATGAGAATAGTAGAAGTTGGAAAGAAAAGGCTTAAATTCCAAATCTAACGAAAAACAATTTCACTATTTTATCTTATGCTTATATGGTTATAAAAACTCACCATGCTGAAATATTCGAATTTGTGTTTTTAGCTGGTGGCACGGTAGCCTGGAAAAAGTTCTCACTCAATGTGTAGATTATGGTAAAGGGGTTAAATGGGTCGTTGTTCCTTCTTAGTCCTGTTAATTTAGATTTACAGGATGAGATTGGACGGTTATGGAAGAATACCAAATTTTTTATGCAATGGAAACACATTGTGAATGATGTTTCAATCAATTTAGTGAATTCAATTAAGCAGTAGGAATACCTTTTAACAATTTATTATGGGGAGTGATAAGCTTTAGAAGGTGTTCTACTTTTATGATAATAAAAACTTTTAAAATTCAGTTTTTCCGAAGCATATCTGGAGGTGGTGAAGAACTGTATGCTCGTGAACCTGCGTGCAATCTTAGTTTACGAATCTGATATCATTTAAGGATGAATGGTGCTCATTTAGGTCGAGATTAAAACATACAAAACAGTGTCTGTTAAATCTGCTATTTGCTCTGAAATGTGATAATAATAGGTATAACATGTTATCTTCAAACTTTACTTTTGTTTAGCATGATACTATCAGCATTTTGCTTACCTAATATCCAAAATAATAGTATTATTTGGATTTTTGTCATAACCACGTTTGATGTCCGAAAGTCATAACTCAAAATCTCAGTGTACCTAACGTGCCAGTTGTCATTTTCATCACTAACTCCTGTCCGGTCCAGACGAAAGGTTGCCACAGTAATTAGAATTAAAAAAGTTATATATGAAACCATATGACCCAGGAATTTGGTCACAGGACACCGTAGTATTTCCGTTACCTCAAAAAATGCAAAAGAAAAAATAAATTTGGATAGTATTAATCTTTGAAAGAATTAAAAGTAAGTGAGGTATTCTATCATTTTCGCTATAAAATACATTCGGTTACTCACATTTCAATTAGGAAGCTATCGTTATGCTTCAAGATCATACATGGTGTATAAAGTTTTTTTCTATTCCTTTACTATCCCACTGGATCGTCGGGCTTCAAGCCAGAGCTTTAAAGTTTGTATGGCAGTGATGTTTATTTTTACGGGGCGGGGCTGTCAGCCTCACGATCAACCTTCCGTCTTTGCCGGTCTTATTGCCAGCTTAGCGAGATAAAGAAGCGCGTCGACCAGTGACCGAACCCTGAACTACATGCGTGGTCGGCAAGCTTCCTACCGCTAAGCCACTGATGCACTTTTGTATAAAGAGGCAAATGCATTTCATAATCTGTGATATATATGTATATAAACACATAATTGTTCAGCTTCCTGAGTTTAGTTGAACTTTTAGATACATAACAAATAAGCGAAATATCGAGACCACAACTTTTAACCAGGGTTTGAATTGACTGAGGTCAATATATCACTTCGACACACTAAACTGTCTGTTCAGTGGTTCAAGTTTGATATTTAAGCAGTACTGTAAGAAGAAAGATTCTGGTCATACAGCGAAATGAAAAACCTAGACAGGTCAAAATTTTCTCCCGCAAAAATTAGATCATAAGAAAGTTTGCATTTCATAGCGCTACATAGAAATAAAAAACGATTATCTGTCTTCTTTCAGTGTATTTCGTCAAGAACCGACATCAGTTGGAGAATCATTGAAAACCAGCAGTTATTTGGGCCTGATTAAGGAAAAACCCAACAGAGTCCGAGACCTGAATATCAATTCCGACTTCATCATTAGTCTGAGGATGGATGTCATAAAGTCCTGATTAGAAGTCGTAGAGCGCGCTGCCTACTCTGTCAGTTGTGAAGCAGATGCATTGGTTATCGGTAGTGCTATATGGCTAAATGACAGAAGTTAGAATTCATGGGTCACAGAATTCCATCCCAGATGCATACCCAGTAATACTGAGCTCCTAGTTCAACATCTTGTGGGGTCGTATATGTGCACTTGGAAATTTCGCGAATTAAAAATCATATTGTGTGATATCTTAGGAATCATCTTCGACGATAACAAGTTTATTAAAGATATTTGTTGTACTCCGGGTTTATTAAAATTCGAATTTATTGCTATCTGAAAATTGTCAAGCACTCTGGGGAAACGTTTTTAAGATTAAGTTATATTATGAAAAGTCACAGATAAATTATTTACTAAGGATCTTGTTCGCCCTGTAGCTTAATGGTAGTGAAGTCAAATAGGATGTGTCCTGATCTTCTCGTTTCGGCTTATGGAAGTATAAGCAGCAATTTTTAACCCTTCTCAGCTTTTATTTATGATGAAACACAACTGATAATTAATGTCATCAGCAGCCACAGCTGAAGAGAACTTGAACTACACGATAAAGGTTTCGTGAAGTTTTATTGTCAGAAGTACAGTCAATTTAATCTATCTCTCCCTAATCATTTATCTTTTTGTCTGTAGAGCAGGTGGAACAATCACGTTAATCATATTATAGGGACAATACTACATTACCTTATTTTATAAATTCTACGGAAGTTGACATGACTTTTCATACAACAGTGAACACGGAAAAGGCTTAGGCATAGTAAAAATCATCTACTTTTTCGGTAAACTAATTCAGTTCCCATCTGATAAATATGCTGTGTGATAATAAATCCCAAAAGCAAATTTATCATGTAGTTTTGATTTGTAACTGTTTTTCATGTATACAACTATTAGTAATACAGTGACACACTTTATGAACATCGTTGTGTTTGTTTTGCATGTGAAAAAAAATAAACACTCATTTACTCAAAGTTATTCATGTATAAATTGGCGTCTGACGTAATTGAATTCAGGACAATTAATTAAATGGTCTTATTAAACATCAGAAACTTCCCTTTGCAGAATTCCTGTCTATAACGCATAATTCTGCATCTATGTAGGATCTGTCAACTTTCTGTTGGAGTTCATTGTCGGATGTCTCATAGGAAAATTTACGCAACTAGTAATGGTATTTTCTGACAGAATGATCTATGTAAGACTATGTCAGTAAAATGCACTGTGATTCCATTTTGAGCTTACAAGCTTGGAACAACACCTTCATGATATCTGGTAGACTAAACTGTGTGTACTATATGATCGATAGGACTAGTTAGTCCTATCTTCAGTCTTCAGGTTATTAACTTTAAGAAACTGGAAAGCATTGATTAGATAAAGTGTGATTATCCACTATCTCTGGGCTTTTTTAACAACCATAAGTGAACGATGGAGTGGGTCTAAATACAGATTTCCCGTGAGAAAATATATAGAATAATGTTTATTTATAATCTTTTGTGGAAGTGCAGTAGGAAGTCTGTGGCTAGTGAGTAAATTACATCAAATTTCGGGAGGTTTGATTACAAGTGACAGTGAGTATTTAGAGTTATCCATGTGCAGTCAATATATTGTATTTTAACTAAGAGGATTGAAGATTTTAGATGGTGCACACAGTGAGTAGTCTACGGGGCAAATAGTTACGTTTGACAAACCATCTGTAAAAGATAACGGAATGTTCCTCCTTCAAACAACTGAGTACATATTCTCAACTCCTACTGCCACTATGCCTTGTGGTTCAGGTAGAGAAAAATGATAACTTGCGAATCGACCGCTTAGTTTCAGTTAAATTTAACTCATAGTCTAGAGCGGTTGGGCATTTATCAATTAAAATGACATTTATGCATTGAGTCATAACTGGGTAGTGATTATTAACTCAATTAAGCGGAGATACTACTGAAAGGAAATCCAAACTTCGATCTCGATGCATACAAAATGTTTTGCTTTCTTTGCAGGTAAAAATCAACAATCATCGTTAAGTGTACGAGTATAAAACCGTGCGTTACAACTTCTTATTCATCAAGATCATTACTCGAATCAAGTATCTACTAAATAGTGATACTGTGCCAAATTAGGATGTTCTATTTGCACACATGATAATTTGGCGTTATATTCTTAAGTAACTCTGAACGACTGGCTAGTATATTTTTTCACTAGGAATTAAAATACTTCTAAGGTGGATAAAGGTATAACGCAGTTCTGCTTTAATAAATTACACGTACATGAAGAGTGACAAAGTATTCCGTGGGTAAGGTGTTTTAATTCTGTCTGCAATTTGACATTCTATTTTGACTAGTGGCTATTTTCATCTACAGATATGTCGTTGTGATGTGCTTGAAAATGTTCAGTTTTCTAGTATTCAATGCTACTTTCTGGTGAAATACTTTAATATTTATTAACCTACCACCTGTATTGTGGGGAATATCTTAGAACTGCTTATTTAGGCTGGAAAAAATTCACAGCAATGTGACATTTATTATCGAACTTTTGATGCATAAATTTACGTATACATTTAGACAACTATAAATTCTCCATAAACAGTGTCTAGAATAAACAAAATATTTCATTTGCCAAAAGTGCGTAATTTTCCCATATGTTAATAAATTTTATTGGAAATGAATTGAAATTTCATATGGACAGTTAATTAGTCCATTACTTGAGCAAACTAGTGATAGTTGTAAAGATGTGTAAGCATATGAATCAAGGACAGAAGGTTGTTGGAATCTTAAGCTAAAAATCCCTCTGTTGTTCTACATCATTAGTATGAGTCACACAGAACAGGAAACTATTGATTCATCACTTAGAGATGAACTAAATGCATAAAATCAGACTGAAACAATTTAAACAGATGGAAGTTGAATTTAGTTTGTGATTTTGTATCTTAATCATGATAGCACCAAAATGAAGGAACCAAAATTATGCACAAACATTCTGCCTTCATTGGTGATGTGTGCATCAGTCTTTATTTCAAGACGACTTGGCTTTTTCTTTTTGAAATATCTACAGTTGTTCGATTAAATTGTATGATGGTTACAAAGAGATGAAAATGAGCACGGTTTAACTTAACTTTTCATAAAAACGGCATGATTCAGACCACAAGCTAACATGATTAAGTAAAAGAAAAACCTTTACAAAGGATTTTGATAATACTTCAAGTGGGTTAAACTGTCATTTATTATCAAAACTTTCTGCTTAACTAGCACCACTTCAGAATGATATGGATGCTTTCTAATGATTAATATTTAGAATGTGATAATGCCTGCTTCATTTTCAACTCTGCAAATGAAATTTTATGAAATATGTTTTGTGTTTAGAAGATCTGGATTTTCTTAGAAAGTGAGTGTCGTGTTGAATGACTGTGACGCGCACACTGATCTCGTACATTCGCCTTAAACATGTAGTAAGTAGTGGACGCCAGTGAAATTGTGCATGCGTGTTTTGTTCTGCATGGGACCCTTCAAATGAGTAGGTCTGCGTTTTCTAAAAGAAATCCTTTAAGAACAGAACCTAGGCTATGTTTCTCAAACACCAAACTGCCATCTTCTGTGGTAGTGTGCCACAGGGGATATCATTAACATAGCAAAGAAAGCGGAAGTTCTGATTCATTACAGTCAGCGACTAAAACCCTTTACTACGGCTAAAAGTCATCAGGCGAAATCAATGGCGTCTGATATTAGATGATAGAAGGAATATATTTATTGGCAAGTAGAAGAGAACTTAGAGAAAAACCAGTCATTAAGAGTTAACTCAGTAAATTCCTTGTTCTTGGCATGTAGAGCGTCTACAGAAAACTGATAATAACAGAGTGGCTTACTTAGTGGGTCTTCATTTGTAAATTTTATGTATTTACGACTAAATAAAATTTTAGCATTTTGCAGCAAGCAAAAGGAATATTAGCTTTATTAGGTTTGAAAGACTATTTTGAAGAAAAACTTTCGCCTGTTATTTTGACATAAGTTTTATATTACAGATCTCACAGATAATATAAAATGACTTTCAAAAAATGCATTAAGTTTTGAACCCCTAAAATGAATATCAAATTGGGTAAATTATCTTCTTAAAAGGAATAAACCTGAGTTAGTAAATCAGACAATGATATCGATATTTTTCTGCTAGTTGCCATTCATCAACAAAACTTTTCTCCAAATCCAAGAATGAACCCTAATCATTCAACATACTGATGGCCGAGGAATAAATGGTCCATCCTCATAACTAATGCTCAAAATATATGTCGTCTGGTTGTCTGTGTATAACTACATAACTTTAGTTAGGGTTTCATGCTTCGCATTGTTTTTCTGGAGCAGAAGAGTACCTATAAATATACATATTTTCAATATTAGTGTTAAGTAAGTTCCTATATATGGCTCAGAAACTTGGCGCGCCGTGAAAAGCATTTCCAACAGGCTACGACAGACTTTTATCAATAGCTAACTTCGCTGGCCCCATATTGAAGATGAGATGGCAGGCTGGAAAGGATTAGCATTAAGGAACTCTGGGACCAAACCAATCGAGGACGTACCACTCAACGAATATTTTGAAGAGAATGGAGATGGACTGGACAAACGTTGAGGAGACCATTAGGCGATATCGTGCGCCGAATCATAGCTCGTATGGAACCCGAAATGGAGTACGAGGGTGACATAAAGGTGGCCATGAGAGGAGGAGGTGAGGGACTACGGGCAATCGTGGGGCCAGCTAGGAAGGACTGAAGAGGATAGGACAAAGTACAGATGTGCTGTGGAAATCCTATGTCTCATTAGGAACCCAAGGGAATAATAAATTATATATATGTATATATATATGTAAACACAACGTGGGTACTGTAGCTGAATATTTCAATAACAGAAGCTCTGTATATTGAGTCGGATACAAATATGTTATATTTTATGAGTGGTTAAACACCTATTGCAGTCATTTGGAAACTTTTATTTTCCCCACGGTAAACTATTATAACAACTGGATCTACAAAGGCCTGAAGGGATGTGCACATAGCGAAAACTGTGTCATCAAATGATTAATAACTCTGCATTTTGGCTAACATTTTGCTCACTAGTTACTCTGCTCACACGTTTAGTCAGCAAATGTAAGGTGGCTTTCATACTGAACTCAGCTTACTGGAGCACTAGACGACTTTTAGCCTTAACATTTTGAAGTGGTTCAGATTTGGCTACACATTCCCTGATCACCAATATACAAAACGATTTTTTATGTGAAGCCAGTTTCAGATTTTTATCAGTTATCTGAATGATTATTTCATTCTTGGTTTTTCTGTCTTGAACTCCCATAATTTTGTTGGCCGGACTTGTGTCGGTCTAATTTACTGCATTAATTTAAATTACTTCTATGTATATTACCAGTTGAGAGCTGCTGGTGAGAAATGAAGTGAAAGTGAATATTTCTTCGCTCAGTATGTGTATTTTCTTAATTGTTTGAAAAAAGGAATTTTAGTTTTGTGAACTGTGAATTTGCAACGAGTTAATTTATTATGTTTGCTGAAGTAAAGTTTAACCGACAACTATAATTAGTCTAATGATTCTCTCTCCTCCCCCTAAAACAACATCCTTCCTCATTTCTCCATAAATTCCTACAAAACCAGTTTTGTACAATATTTTATTAGGATGGATGAAACAACCTTCATAATTTGAAGTTGTAAATAGGTTCCATAACAGTGTTAGCATCTATACCGAATTAATACAAATTTTAATGGAAAGTGAAATCCATTTTTAACCTGAAAGGAAGGAAATCATTAAAAGGGCAGGGGGTAGATTATATATCATTAAAACAAAATATTCTATTTAAATGCATACCGTTAAATGAATATATTGAACTTCTCTTTCTATGAATAAATCTCGCTTAAATCGACTAACTATTAATCATATTTAATTCAGGCTGTTATTTAAATAAGGGAATTGTTTTTGAGCAACAAAAATATTTACTTGTAGTGAAGGTGAACAAAATCACATTGTATACATCTTTGTTAGAAACTGATGTCAAAGATGGATTGAGTGAAATCTCTCAGTATGCCTACGAAAATTTTGGCTGTTCACCTGTTAGATATTTTATTTTTTTGAGCAGGAATTTTTGAAAAGACAAATGAATACTTTTCATAGGAAGCCATGACGTTTGCGTGTTAAAATGTTTCATTTAAAATCACTTTAATCTTAGTCTGTTCCACTTTCAAAATGACATATCTTGACAACATAATACTAGCACAATGAAAATTAGGCAACTATGAGCCTCAATTTTTACTTGCGATGGTCACAATTATCACATCTCAAATTCCACAAATATGTGATACACAGTTTGAATGAAAAGAATATTAAATGACAACTAAAATTGGAGTCTTTTTTATTAATTTGAGAAATAGGATACAGGAAGGTGAATGTTGGCAAATAAACAGCTCATTCAAACCATGAAACCAATTTTCACGACAACAGAAAAGGTGAATATCATCTTAAGTATGCAAAACACAACACAGCTTTTGATATTCTATGTATGAATATTTACCGGATGATTGGTGGTAGTAGACAGAAAGTTTGAATTCATGTTTGGTGTTTAGTGATTTTCCTTAGATGTCACATTTTATTATATCCTTTTGACTCCGCTTTTCGCAGTAATCAAAAGCAAGATTTCAATGAGACACTCTTCAAATGTCAAGTTATTTTTACAGGAAGCTACTTAATTACAACAGCTGTGTTCTACCGAATTTGTATTATTCATTGTCTTAACACCAGACACGTAGTTTTTGTTTTTTAATTGTCTTGTTTTCTTCCATCATCTCCCATTAAATTTCTGCCCTTTATTACCACTGTTGCCAACTTGACTGTCGTTCAATTTTAGTTGAATTCTACTCATTCCCGTTAATTATATTGCGTCAAATGGCCTCAGGGATTCGAACAGTCTCGACATGACGAATTATATTACGTCACTCAATTTACTTACCTTATTTTAGTTTCAACCCCATTAACGCTTTTCATACTGAATAATCTGTTAACTGAAGAAATTTGCGATTCCAATGACACATATATAGAAATATTCCTTTTGAAATAATAGAGAAGATTTGCAGCTCAGGTGGATGATTTGCAAATAATAGTGTTCTCTGAGCTGGTTGGTTTAGTTGCGGAGCTTTCATCGTCCTTCTGGACAACATCTTCAGCGCAATATTAAGCATAAAGTGAAATTATTTAAATGTCTTCATGAGTGATATAATTGCGTCTCCTGGTAACTATCTTTACATATGCTAAATACTGCGCTGAAGGTGTTGTCCAGAAGGACGACGAAAGCTCCGCAACTAAACCAACCAGCTCAGAGAACACTATTAATTGCAAATATTCCTTTTGTTACTTAGATAATTTACTGTATGTATACGATTGTACAGAAAAAGAGTAACTCATCGTTGAGTGTCTTTTATATGATTTTCATGCTGCTTATTCATCATTACTGTCTAACTGTCTCTATTGTTGATTGATAGAAGTGGATTATTAAGTTTTGTTCGACACAGAGGTGTTAAGGTAACCTAGTCTTCATTATCTTCAGTGTCAACGTGGCAAATGCTGCAATGCCTATATATGTATGACTAAATTAGCATAAACCCGAATGGAACTTGTGAATTATACCACCAGGAAACAATAAATAAAGTTGCGCTATGGCTACTAGAAGAGAACAAATGGGGTAGTATATACCAACTCCCTAGACCCCTAAAGCTAGTATTTAGGAGACGCACTCTGAAGTAATCACTGCGGTTAGCAATTTTATAAACTAAGCGTATTCTTTCTAAATGCTTCAGGTATTTTATGCCATCAGAAAAAATATTAAACATTTACATTCTCCAAAAAATGTCAGTTTGTACTTCAAAAAGTGAACTGATGGTAGACAGTTTACTGGAAATGATTCATGCTGCCAGAAGAGACTTAAAAAGTAAAATTCTCGGTTTGTTTATTAACAGTAAACAAAAAAAAGAAAAAGAAAAGTTCAGGAAGCCTTTTATTTATCTAGGTAAGGACAGTAATAAGTATAAAATCTACTTAGAATTTTACTATCATTCTGACCTTATCAGGTTATAGAATTGCCAAAACTCCATCAATACTTATGATAAACTCGATCAAAATAGATCCTATTTGATATAAGCCTGTCATCAATAGCTTAAAGTTATCTATTTGATTGGTGTAATTCGTCTTAGATTTTGTTCGAACCGTCAATGATACGATATAAAGCTGGTGATTTTTGATGTTAAACAGTTGAAAGAAGTTTCCTTGTCACTGAAAAATCATATAATATAAGCATTCAATGCTTAACAGTTATGTTTAATAGTGTTAACTCTAGTGTGTTAATTTTTATTTTTATTTTTTTATTTTTTATTTTTGATTACAGTTTGATTCCACACCGTATTTTCAGTACAAGTATGGAATTTTCAGCATGGATATCGGTCGCCCAAATTCAGGCACACCATAGATATCGGGTGTGCGTCGGCAGGGGATCGAACCCCGGACCATGTGCATGGTCGGCAAGAGTCCTAACCACTGTGCCACCGACGCACAAAATCTCTTGCGACCGCCGGGAGTCGAACCCGGATCGACTGCTTGGAAGGCAGCCATGATAACCGCTACACAAAAAGTAATAATACTCTGGATTCAGTAACTTACCTCATATTTTGTAACGCTTCGATCACGATATATTAAACTCTGTGGGAGTGGCATCTAAATGAAAGGAATAAATATGTAAGGCATATAAATAGGTATTATTATATTAAAATATCAAATTTGGGGTTGGCAGTTGAAAAACTAATAAAGATGCATCCGCTATGACGCCTTACATACTGAAGCTTTTGTGACTTACAAATTTATTCATTTTCACACACTGTTATAAATAAATACTGGCTAGGATATCGACTTTACCAGTAATTTTTTGCGAAGTGCGTGGATTTCCAGATTAATCATAGGATGACAAATTTCTCGGAATGTTTACCACATAAATACTTATCCTCATAGTTCGTATGGAGGATTTTATACTAACTGATCTCTATTTTTTAATCACTTGGTTCGTATGTTACGGGAACTATTTCCTCAAAATCAGTGATAGTGGGGATACTTAAATCCAGAAGTCACTTGAAATTTTCTCTTAAGAGGAATACCTATAGTCATCTGTAACTTCTAAAAGGAATCGACATTAATGCACAGTCACTATTCTACCAGCATATATAAAGTGAACATCTTCTTAATGAGTCTGTCAGGAAATTAAATACAAAAAAATTACCGTGTCAACGTCATACTGACATGACTGGACTGTTAGGTCAAAGGAAATTTCAATGTAAGTACTAAAAAATGTAACTGTTGATTTAAAGTTGTCGCACTTTGCGTTAATTTCATGTAATACTGAATTAGAATAAGTAAGAAACTGTCGTTAGAGTTACAAGTCTACGTAATCGAAGTTCAGTCGGTGACTGTGCTTACCATCTAATCTGATAAGCTAGATAGTTTTGCTACATTTATGTGCATTTATCAATTCAACTGCACCTGCGGTGACAGTTATGTTGGGCATACTACTAGACAGCTTAGTCAATGTGTTAGTGAACATCTCCCACCGTGGTTTGGCAAAGGACAGACAAAAACAGTCCGTAGCTCAATTTTGTCACATTTAGTCAATATTGGTCATGTAATGGAGAAAACGAGAGCTTTCAAAGTAATTCATCGTATCCCACCGAATCTTTCCAGTAGACTTTGCATTCGTCTACTTCACACAGTGAAATATTAAGACTAGACTATGCATTCAAAAGAAATTTGTACAGCCATTATCCCTCCCTTGACCTATGAAGATATAACCAACTGATGACTTCTCCAACACCACTTACTTATATTTTCAACCCCTCCCTTATCATTCCCTAATCTTATCACATCTCCATTAAGAATGTGTTTCATTTACTTCCCTTACAATCTAGCATTACTTAATCGGTTCATTTGTTTTTCTTAGCCTTTATCAACTACTTCTACCTGAACATTTGTTTGTTTAATCATGCTGTTTTTCGTTATTCGTGTTATCACACATTGCCTCAATTTTTCATCCTTATTATTGATAAAAACCATTATTATTACTGTTATTCTTATCATTATTGTGACTAATTGCACAATTTATATTCACCACATTATTATCCTATATTTGTAAAGTTATATATATTAGGGTTAAGCCTGATGAGATCTAATTGAAACCAGTATTGTTCGCTTAAATGTGTTGTTGCCTATTTAAAAAAGTTAAATATACAATATCAAAATGATAAGTAGCATGATGAAAAAGTGTTAAAAAGTTATAACTTACCTTGAAATGTGGAAAGAAAAGATAAATAATGTACAAAAATGGCAGCAATGAAAGAAAAATAATCACAAACTGTAGCCTTTGTAGTCCTTCGAAATCTCGAATGCAAAACATTAAACTATAAAACAGATTTTCCATTTGATGTTGACAATTTGGATGAGCGACAAACTGAAATGCAAAATGAAACGACACAAGTATCGAAAATTCCGGGTTCCTTCAGTTGAAAATAAAACAAACATTTAAACGGAAAATGTAAGAAAATAAACAGCCATTGAAAATTTAGTAAGCAAACACAATTTGTGAACACTGACTTCCAACATAAAATCTTACTAAAACCTGCAACAAAATGTCCTTTCTTTCACGTATTCATTGATGCAGCCAGAATACAAACACTTTCCAAGAGTAAACTATTAACTCTGTGGTCGTTTGCGACGTGATATGCAGGACAATTTCCAGCTGAATACGGTAACTCATTTTCAGTTAAAATGATGAAAATTAAAAATCCCAGTCAACATCATTTATACTTGCAGTAATGTTTGTGGAGCCAGGTATGTCGGCCATACCCAGCGCTAGATTCCCAAACGTATCACCGAACACTTACCAAAATGGTTTTACAAAGGAGAAGATCGTTGCCCCCGCAGTTCCATCTTAGAACATCTGATAGAATCCGGACACCTAGCTACACCGCAAATAAACGTCAAAGTCGTCTACAGAGTAAGAAGTAGTCTTCCTAAAGGTGTACGAACCAGACTTCTTCAAACTGTAGAAGCAATGGCGATTCACTTGCTAAGTCCTGAACTCTGCATACAGAAGAAGTTCATTCAATCACTACACTTGCAATGGACGTAATCTGTCTTATTACCCGATAAATAAATTCTACTTAATCTTTTTTTCTGTCTCTTCATTAGTATCATTTTGTCTTCTCAATTGTAATATTTAATATTTTAAACTTTCTTGTTCTCTACCCCCACCTGAATCAATTTTTACACCTCACTACCATTGTTACTGACTTGAACAACACTCAATTTCCAGTAATTTATGTTACATCATCCAACGTATTGGCTCAATTTCAATTCTACTTAGCCTCTACCTGTAATTACCTCTGTCGCTATCCTGATCTAAGTTGTAACATTTTAGTCAATTATATTACGTCATCTAGCTTACTAACTCAATCTTACTTTAGTTGCTGTCTGATTAACTTTGTTTCTATATTACATCATTCTTGTATTGACTAATCAATTATCTAAACTTGACAAACCTCATGTACACACACACGCACACACAAATAATTATATATAAATGCGATTGTACAGCTATGTGAATGAATTCGCCGAAAAGAGTCTCTTCGCTGAACGTCTTCTCTTTTTCATGTGACTTAATGGGGATTTTCAAGTAATGTTTGTATCACTGACTTCAATATGCGTGAAATATATTTCTTGCAGTAATGATTCAAACAGAAGTCGTATGATTTATAAGTAGATGAACAGTCAAAAGAAACTACTTATTTGATTTGAAGAGACTATAAAAACTGAACATTGACTGTTGTTGTACTTTAAATCATTCAACATGTTGTGATGGATGTGTGAGTGGTGAAACAGTAGAAATTAGTAGAGAATTTTCACGGTATATGAGTTTTGACTAGAATTATTCCAAGAGTACACCTGTTAATTCTTCGAGCGAATTGAATGGAGCAAACAGTAGAAGTGGTCATCTACGTTGCTGGATTTTTGCGTCAGTATCGATAGACATGAAAATAAGTGATTTTCACTTCTGTCGATTTACTGTTAACCCTCAAAGTTGTACTGTAGGTTAGTTTTGTGGCTGAATTATAAATCTGATTGATGGACTTTAACCAGTGCGCTGACTGTAGTTTTTTTTCGTCTTGAATAATTCGCTTACACTGCATTTATGCTAATCGAATAATCCTATTGAAAGTGGCTAAAGAGAATTCATTATTTTAAATTGGCTCATTTTCCTTTTAGTACCAGCAAAACAAATAGGTTTTGATTCATTTTTCACAAAAAGTATTTCGAAAAAAAACGACTTGTTCCATATTTTTCTACAAAAAATGTCTGTAGTTAAACATGACTGATCATTGTCAATTTATCTCGTACGATGAATAGACACATCAGTTAGGAATCTATCTCATGTTTCCAGTACTTAACTGGAACATGGATTTTTCAACAGAATGACCTTGGCTTTTAAACATACATATCAACGCGTTGAAATAATATGAGGGATTTGTAGGTGGAGCGGGTGATTTTAATGTGTTGGTGTTCTCTAAGCTGTGTGATTCAATCGCTAAGCTTTTGTCGCCCGTATAGACAACATCTGTAGCGCAAGTCCACTTCATATTAAAGCTTTTGCTGAAGATGTTGTCTAGAAGAACAACAAAAGCTTCGTGAATAAACCACATAGCTCAGATAACACCAACACATCACATTTTCTAATTCATCTCTTAGCCTATAGGTAAGAAATTTTCTTTATTCCTTCACGTTCTAAATGGAACATTGGGTATCAAGCCAGAGGCTTGAAGTTTCTATAGCAGTGTTTATTTTTACAGGATAGGATTGTTAGCCTCATGTCTAACCTTTCCTCTTTACCAGTCTTATTGCTGGCTTAGCGAGGCAGAGGAGTGTGTCGGCCGGGGATCGAACCCCGGGCCATGTGCATGGTGGGCCAGCATACTAACCGCTGTGCCACTGACGCTAGATGGGAAATACTGACATGGAATTTAGTCAGAACACACTTACTAATCATCTTACACGGTTTTTGACAAATAGCATAGTTATTTTTTCACGTTTGAAGTGTAAGACTCACTGAACTACTCACAATTCGTCCGGTTTTTCAGTGTTTTATTACACTGACATCTGGAAGGAATGAGCGTTTTATGATGTTGACGAGCAATTTACCTGATCACGGGTGCTGTTAGACTTCCGAATATTTCAGTGAAGCTTGACTATGTAGCCTAGTAAGACAACAACGAGAAAAATTTCACTAATTCAATACTAGATTGAAGTTTACAGTGTAAACGGAAATCCACCACGATATTTAGAAAATTTTTGGTATCAGTTTGAAGAAAAAGCATTTTTTTATTGGGAAGCAATGAACTTCGTTAAAATATAAGTTGTAAGTAGTGTTAATTTGCATCATTTTTTTCAAATTTTCCAGAAAATTTACTTTTACTTTTACTGTTCAACCTTTTCACTTCTCAACCAAGAATTACGTTCCTGTGGTGTAGTAGTTTAGGTTTTCAGAAACGAAAATGTACCTTCGAATTCATATTCCATGAAGTCGATTAACAATTATCATTCTAATTATAGCGAAGTTAAAATTATCAGGCTTAGGAATGTATAGTTTTTCGTTTCATATGACAGGATAAATTGAAGGTAGATTACGGCAATAAATGCTCTGAAAATACCTGTACTTAATGAACTGTCAACATTTCGGCCTCTTCAGAACTTCCTGTTTGAACGCGACTCTATTTTTTGAATCAAAACTGGAGATGATTCAGCAATCACTGCAGATATTTTTAAAATTCTTCTGCCAATAGTAGTAAAGAAGTATCAATTAAAAAATATAAAATATTATTTTCCGAAATTGATGACTGAGAGTGTATGGACAACCTTGTGACCTACTAAAAAGCACTCCATAGAACAGGACGAAATAGAGATCGGCTGCTGAAGCCCTATGTCCCACTTGAGACCCAAAGAAATAATAATAATACTGACAGAGAACAAAGTGAGTCGCCTTAAGCATTTGGTAAAACAAGTATAATTGCGACCATGAACATTTCTGCCGTTTATCATGTCCAAATTTATTTTTTGATCTCATGTTATCGTGTATTATAACACTAAGTCATTATCCAAACCGTGATAATTAATTTTGTTGGATGACTAGGGAGATTTTACGATTTCATATACTAATTGAAGTCATTTAAAAACTGTATTTCGTTTTAAATTCCACCAAAAGTTAAGAACTGCTATATAAATGATTATTGGATATTTATCTTTATACTCTGAGTGCAATTTATCCGACGCCAAAGACCCAATGTTTATCTAGATTACTTTCACACATTTGCTACGGGGATCAGGATATAAAAGATGGCTTTCATGTAAAAAAGTTACTTATACAAAGTTGCTTGAAAGTGGAAGACTTATGTGAAAACTACAATAAAACAGTACATCTTTAATCTAGCAGTTATTTTATAAAGGGAAAAGACACTCAAAACTTTCATCGGGTTATTCTCACCACAGTGTTTTTTATTTCTTAGTCTTAAACGGATTATAGTGACTTATGTTTAGCTTTTATTGTTTACTTGGAGGTTACTTTAAGCGCTGCATACCACGAGTTTATCGAACATTTGTGACAGTATTGGTATGGTTGTATTGTCTGGGCTGGATGATTTGTTTGAGAAGCTGTCACTGTCTTTCTAGACAGCAGAAGTAAGCGTATACGAATTTACCATAAATGACTTAACTGTCTCTATTGGCGACCTCAGTTGCGACTGTTTACACCACTCACCGAGAATTCAAAAAAGTTTACTTCATATTGAAGTGTGCACTGAAGATGATGCCTCGAAAGACAGCGACAGATTGCTGCTAATAAACTATTCAGCTCATAGAATGCAACTATCCCACTAACACTCAGCTGACCTACTGTTCCTCACCATTGTAAAATACCTTTGCATTCATGATTTGGCAATTTTGAAATAACGAACATCCAAGAGGAATGTATCCTAAAAGACTGTTATGATACTGTAGTTTCCCAACAGAAATGTAGAGATTTTTCGGTGGTGCTACTTCATTCCTGTAATTTTTTCCTTGAATTATAGACTTAATACTCATCTATTTTTGAAATTTACTTTCCATTACTCAAGGTTTGAATCCAAATTAAGACTTCAATGAAATCATTTGGCTTTTAGTTTGGTTTTGTAAACTCATTGCATAATGCAAGAAAACGGATGACGACCGAAGAGTTGAATTTGCATCAAGCAGTGCAATTCTCTAATTCCTAGTCAGCTAAAAGACGTTATAGTTTGTTGTAAAGAACATCCATCCAGAACATCCCTAAGCACTAAATGTAAGCTTTCATCATTATATTAGTTTCTAATTTGCTTAGTCGTCGGCTTTCAGAAGAAATCAGCATAAATGAAACTGACCTTTTTT